AAATTTATAAAATAATAAATCTTTTTATATATATATAGATTTTACAAATAAGATTTTCATTGGGAAAGCTAACAAAATTCCTGAAGAGAAAATTTTAGTTTTATTTTTAATTTATTTAAATAATTATATTAATTACATTAATAATTAATATTAATATACATTAAATATTTTTATTAGATAAAAGAAAGAAGATTACTTCTATATTTTTTATAAATAATAATAATAATGGAATTATATGACAATAAATTATAATAAAATAAGAACTAAATATTATGTGGTGAACAAAAGAATAAATAAAATTATTATTTTTTCTTATATCAATAAATAAATATATATCATATAATCAAATTTATATTATTATAAACGTGTTATTGAGATAATATATTAACTAATTTATAGACTTGCGCTAACCGACTCAAGTTTGGCGCTCTAGCTAAAAGAACAATGTTGACCAAAAGAAGAGGTTGAGAACAAATGATCTAACTCTACTGAGGTGGAGAATATATTATTCAAATCTTTTTTTTTTCATGCCTAAGAAACAAACTATATGTAAATGATTTATTTAACATCTTAGTCCCGTGCATCGCACGGGCTACGTAGGATAAAGCGAAAGATATTTACTTTATTGTCCGCCATATTTTGTTGGTGCTAAAAAAAATATCTTATCTTTTATTCTTCGTCCCTTCTCGTCTCGTGTCTGTACAGAGCAAAAGAAATACAGAGGTAGCTCACAAGCATGTCAATAATATCCCCAAATTCCCACATTTTATACCGACAAGAACTCAACCAGAAGGAGAGCCATCACCAGATCTGGAGCAAACCAAACGGATTCGGGTTCGATGGGAGCAAGATTTATTACGAGTGGAGAAAGAGAGGGAATAGAGATTTGAGGGCATCAGCTGCGTTTTGGCCTGAGTTATCAAAGCCCTCTGCAGCTTTGGAGATGGAGCCCATTCAAGATTGTCAACACTTTGATCAGATTCTAGATAAAGCTAAAGAGCTCTCACAACCCATTCTTGTTGACTGGTCAATCTTTTTTGCTCTTCCCCAGCACCCTTGTCTTTTAGGATTTAACTAATAATAATTCTATTCCTAATTAAAAAATGCATGCCTTTGACAGGATGGCTGCTTGGTGCAGAAAATGCATCTATCTGAAGCCCAAATTGGAAAAATTGGCCACCGACTATGATACAAAGTGAGTTCAATTTTTAAACGTAGTGATAGATCTCTATGATCTTAGTTTGTTTGTTTATATCTGTCTGAATTAATTACCTCCCTTGCACTAATTAAGTTGTTAGCTTTTGCAAAGTCCGAACAATTGCAACATCATATTTGTTTATAAAACTCTAATTTTTATTTCTCCTGAGATGGTAGGATGAAATTTTACTGTGTGGATGTCAACAATGTGCCTAAAGCGTTGGTTAAGCGTGGAAACATCTCGGTACGTACATGAATCTATTTCGTTATTATAATGGCTTCTATTGTTCTCATTTATCAGTTATTATTTTCCCAATTCTCATATATTAATGAGATGGACGTTGTTGTTTCGCATGCTTCGCCCACTGATAAAAAATTTGGTTTGGTTTTCATCGTGTCTATCTGAAGAAAATGCCCACAATTCAGGTTAGATGGATGACCCAATTAACTGTTTTGGAATTCTTATGAGAATTAATTGAGATGGTATCATCCACAAATGCTAGCTTACAAGTTGAAAAATAGCTTTGATGTATGTGTGGTTATATGATATTATGGCAGATATGGAAAGATGGGGAGATGAAAGCAGAAGTTATCGGAGGGCACAAGGCATGGCTCGTTATTGAAGAAGTCAGGGCTATGATCCAACAGCTTCTATAAATAGATGATAAAACTCAGCTGGCTTTTTTCTGGTCCTTGTTTTCTGAAAATATGTATGTGTAAATGCGTGTAAATACCTTCAACATCATATCATATGAAGCTTTTATTTATATCTCGTATAACATGATAAACTTTAGCATCACAGCAAACCTAATATCTGTATACTAGAACATTATAGCAATTTGGTAACATGCAATGTAAAATTTGCAATTTGCAAGCACTAATTTAATGTTCAACCAGACATCAAAGTGTACACATAAAAATAGTATGGTGGCAAGTTACTCTCAAACTAAATCGGAAAATTCAAAATCACATTGCGGCGAAAAACCAAAGTGAGAAAACTCATATCCCAAAGCCAAAAACTGCTCGTATCTTGTGGAATATAAGATCTCTCCATCCCCGCTCAGTATTCTCTACCACAGTCGCATTACCATACCTGCATTTTTCCAGTAACTTGCATTAGAGCGGCCTTGCCTTTGATTTTCAGAGTGAGGCACAAACATAAACAGGGAAAAATAATCGAACATTCAGTTAGAAGATACTGACCTGTCTTCCTCAGGAACATCAGTGTGTGTGAGCTTGACAACCGTCACACCAGATTCAGGCTCTTCGAAAGTAAGGCACACCTAAATGGTAAATTGTAATCAGCAAACTGCTTAAGTACACCTTGCAAATTCCACACATAGTGCTAATACCAATTTCTCACATTCACAATCTGCAGTAAACCCAAGCCTACCTTTCTTCTATAAATCTCAACGTGGGATAGAGGGACAAGCAAGCCTCATCGCTCATACAAGATTTTATTGCCATTTATGTGTTAACACTAATGGGGAAATAGGCATGGAAATTGGCATTGAATATGATAGCCTGCAGCATGATGAACTTGCATAACCCCAACATATCAAGAATGATAACTAGTATACTCTTTACTTATTTTTCTGAAAGATGGATATCTTGATCTAACAAACAAAAGTGCTATCCAAATATCATCAATCACAGGAAAATATCCAAATGAATCTCTGATGAAATCCATCCAACTGAGCTAAGCCAGGATTATGAAATTCATAATCCGAGTAGATGCATAAAATTCACAAATCCAAACAAAAAGATTCAAGTATGTCCAAGAATAAGCCAATCACCCAAAAGTATCAAATGCATCCAAAATCATCAATATAAAGCCAATGTATCAATTCTTCTGTCAACTAAACTAGTACACCCAGCACCTCAAGCAAACCATTGATTGCACAACAAACACACAAAAACAGCACATTATCGGATTCAAAGAGCAGTCTCTCAAGTTCATAACCAAGTACTTACGGAAGCTACTACAAGCAAACTAAACAACTTGAGGACACCATTATGACAAGCACACAAAGAAATCACAATGTCGGATTGAAAAAGCAAACTTTCAAGTTACAAGCACGCTTGAGCTAACAACTTTGCAAATAGTTACACGTACCGTGGAAACAATGCCATCTTGCCAGCTACCGAATCTCCATTGTTGAACAATCAACTTCCCTTCCTGCAACTCCAGATTCTTTCCCGTCACAGACCCATCAAAAATACTAAATTCTCCTCCAACCTCCTTACTGATCCTTGCATTGCTTTGTGTAAACCCTTTCCACCTATTTTCATCCATTAAAATTTCAAACAAATCCCTGGCACGACAACTAAATTTCTCGCTCATCGTTATTGTCTTAAACCCCTCCTCCTTTTTCTTCTTCTTATCCACCCTCTTGACCTCCTTCGCATCAGAGCCAGAGGTATTGCCCGCGCTATTAGCCACAACACCAGATCCAGGTGCCGGTTTCTTTGTTTTGGCAACCTTCTTAACATCCAAATCCTCCTTGGCCGGCCCACCTCTCGCCATTGCCTCGACATACTCCCTGATTTTTTCGAAGACAAAGGGCTTACCCTTGGAGACAAAGGTCTCCTTCAATCTCTTACCGATTGGCCCGTCGTCTTTGATAGTGATTCGGATCTCGGGATCCTCGCCGGCGTTCTCGTCAGAAATATAGGGCACCTCAACGGAGCCCTCGGCGGACAGAAGCACTGAGTTCCCGTCGGAATCCTTGGCCACGGCCTCGTAGGAGAGGCCGAGAGGACGAGGTTCAGCTCGTAGCCGGGTATTATCTTCCCCTTGCGGACGTTAACGTAGGCCTCGCCTTCGAGCTTCTCGATCTTCTTGGTGGTGATGTGGAGGTTTCCCTCGCCGGATAGAATGGGCTTGTCGCAGAGGAGGTTGGTCAGGAAATTTCGAGACCACTCGAGGCAATCAGTCTCGGCCCAGTGCCAATTGTGAACGTTGGCGCCATCGGGGCGGTCTTCCACGATCCACCGCTTGTCCCCTTCGCCCAATTTTGCCATTGCTGATGTGAGATTGAGTCGTCTAGTAATTGGTTCAAGGTGCGTGCGATGGTGGAGGCGGAGAGGAATTAAACGAGGATGGAGAACTTGTGGATACTTCTCAAGGGAGAAGGAAGGGTCAGGCGGGCGATTTTTCTTTTTTTTT